TATGATTGGACGGTCAAAGTGACCATCCAATCAGAATTGGACAATGTGAGACATTATGATTGGGTGGTCAATTTGACCATCCAATCATATACTTCGGCGAAGTTAGACATTATGATTGGATGGTCAATTGATTGGATGGTCAAATTGACCATCCAATCATAATGTGATAAAGTGAGACATTTTGATTGGATGGTCAATTTGACCATCCAATCATTTACTTGGAGAACTTGAGACAAGATGATTGGATGGTCAATTTGACCATCCAATCATAATCCGACAAAGTTAGACAATATGATTGGATGGTCAATTTGACCATCCAATCATAAGATCCGAAGGATGCAGAGAATATGATTGGATGGCCAAATTGACCATCCAATCACAACGTCCAAAGGCTCCACACAACATGATTGGATGGTCAAATTGACCATTCAATCATCTCGTGTGATTGTCGTGGCGACGGAAAAACAAAATATTCCTGAAGTATTGACTTCTTCAAAACCACAAGACAAAAGATCCTATCTTGTATAATACGACCTTATTGTGATTACAAACCGTGCTATTGCGACCTACACCACTATTAGGTAATATCTGTAATAGATCTCTATATACTGTGAATTGCAAAGTTTGGTGAAGAACTCTTGGTAGAACCAATCAGATTGAAGGAAATCCCTCCAAAGAGTTGAAAAAAGGAGCCAAACATTTCTTTTCCTGTTGCAAAGAGTTGAAAAAAGGAGCCAAACATTTCTTTTCCCATTGCAGCAATTCAAATCATCGCCAAATATTGATAACTGCTGGTACATCGAAAACTTTGGTGAAGGCCCGCCCTTGTCTTGGTGACGACATGACAAATGGTAAAGGTTCTCCAAATCTATGCTGAATTTATTATCCACACCAAGTACCTGTGGTTCGGTCACTTCTACCCAGAAACCCCCCATTCCAACCCCCCAATCATGATATTCATACCCATGCACGACAAATATGCGTTAGAATAAAGAAGCTTGGAGAAATTAGGCCCACAGTTCGACCAATACCAGTTTTGAAGCAGAACTTACCATTGTTTTGACCCCACCAATTAGGCCAATGCATGCTGGGTCTAGGCGGAATCCATGACTAAATCGCATACTGCTCAAGGCTTAAGGATTGAAAGAAGCGACTGGTGTATTGTTGAGTGCTTGTGCCCTGATAGTATGGCGGCCATGGGAACCTCCTCCTGAAAGATGGCAAACCGACATTAGGAACCAACCAACAGAGGCAGCTTGATCAACATTGGTTGGTTGTGGAATGATAAAGATATAGAATAAATCACCAATCGCAGCTGTGAATGAATTCTATATAAAATGAAGCTTGCCATTGTATTTGGTTTCTTCCTGGGGCCCACAGATGCCAATTCATCGTTTCAGTCTGATTTGCCAGTTGACGGATTTGACTGGAAATCTTCGAAAGCAACGGAACTCTGGAAGCAACAGCAAGATGATAAAAGACAATGGCATTGGGTACAATACACCAATGGACGATACTTCATCATCAATCATTTCAATCACTTCTTCTGTTGTTGGAACATTTGATCGTCAGGAAACATCGTTGGTGGACCACAGTGTGTCTGCAGAAGAAGATGTGAGGAAAACTTTAATCACAAGTGGTTGGTGATTGATGGCAGTTGCTTCAAAGCACTTGTGATAGGTGTTTGGTGCTCGGTTTTGGTGTTGATGGGTGCGCAAGAGGTACGTCTGTCCACGTGTGCTGGTACGTATTGTCCTGTACCACCTACACGTACCGTACATGTACAGCGCATCGTGTGAGAATTTTCAAAAAACTACCACTTTCAAGTGGGGTGATTTGATTGGATGGTCAAATTGACCACGAGCCAGTAGAGCCGTGGTCAAATTGACCATGAGCCAGTCAAGCTATGTCAATTTGACATGCAGCATTCCGTCCAATCATCGAATACACCCGCCGCGTTTATACACAGTTATTTCTTATTAAATATGGAAAAGTGGTCTACGAACAGAAAAAATGGGAATGATTAAAGAGGACGGGCATGCTTTTTCCTTTGTCCTCTCCCACCCTCCGCACCGCCAAGCCGTGCTATTTTGACTGACTGTTTGTGGACGCGGATGAGCTGGTCGCTGCATTGATTTTTCAAGATTCCGTCTGCAAGATTCCCTTGTAAAGATGCAATTGCGTGCGAAATGACTAATCGGACCACAGTTCCCGGCCGTTCCTGGAAGCAATTTTTTTAAAACTGAATAATAATAAAACCTACAGTGATCTGTCCCTCCTTACGAGTGGGATATGACAAAATATGAGTTTTTAAGTTCCAAGAAAAACTATTCAAGTACAAAGTTTTGACAAGCACCATCCGATTTTGATCATGATGTCAGCAATTTGACGGAAGTCTGTCGGACAATCTATTTCCACATGGAAAGAGAATGACCCTATAAAAGTGGAATATACGTGTTGTGTACAATGCAGTAGGGAATCATACAAGATGTCCCAAACTACTGTATCCAACGCATAGTCCTTGTAGAAGTCTAATTGAGTTCTGTAAACAAGGGATTTTCCTGATGGAAATTCGTTGAACTCACTTTTTGGATTGAATCATCAATTCAAGCCAAACATTAATCAAATAGGAACAATTTCACTCAAAGTATACCTAACACAGGAGAACTATTGTTGTGAAAAATGTTGTATAGTCGATTACAAATTTAGATTGCAGAGAGTTTGTTCTGAGCGCTAAAAGCACTCACGATAGAACCCTAACCCTTTATTCTAACATTCAATCACAAAAGGCAACAAAACAAATTTACGTCAAGAACACCACTGCCTTATCTACAAAGGAGTGAGTGATTCGTTGACAATTGGACGTTCTTCATCCGGTGGTGGAAGAGCACGTGTGACTCCTCAGAAAGTCAAGAGCAATTCAAGTTCAACAGTTGTAAAGCATCCATTTTCAACAAAAGATGAAAACAATGGAAAGGCAAGATTGTCGTACAAAGATGCCAACAAAAGACTGCACAAAGATGCCAAGAAAGAAAGAGTGATCAACTACATCCAAGCTTCTGGAATGAAGTGCTCCAAAGACATGGTGAAATTGATTCGCTCGACTTCAATGCAATCGCTCCAACATTGAATGCTCCAACTCAAACTGAAGCTGATGCAAGAGAAACAGAGATGGCCAAAGCTTGACGAGAACATGCAAAGATCAGCCTACTTTGAAACAAACCAGCAAACTGTGAAGTCAAACATCATGCTTAAGTTTGTGACAAAGGCGATGGATATCAAGCTTTGAGGTGAAGCCAATTTCACGACTACTCTTGAAGATCCAATCAAACTCTTGAAAGAGATTGCCGATGTTGAGTATGACTTCTTGGATTTCTAGGAAGCCAACAAAACGTTATTTGCTATGAAGCAAGGAACAAACAAAAACTTGATGCATTTTAAGGAACAATTCTTGAGACAGGCTGAAGTCCTGCAAGATCCATATGGCATTGCCTGGTTCCAAAATTTTGAAGGAACAACCAAAGACTTGATATATTTCAAGGAACAATTCTTGAGACAGGCTGAAGTCCTGCAAGATCTATATGGCATTGCCTGGTTCCAAAATTTTGCAGTCAAGACAAAAGCGTATGCTGCTATTGCTAGCACCAGTACTGCTGCTAAAGACAAGTTCATGGATGATATCTTTAAAGCCGTTCTAGCCACAGGATTTCTGTGCAACTGCGATTGAACAAGAACAGCTCCTCTGATGCTGGATCTTCAGATGAACTATTGCAGGGAAGTGGATTATTATCCAAAGACGGTCAGCAAAGCACAAGATATGTTAAAGATTCACATGGATGTGATCAAGAATCGGGGAGTGAACCTGTACCAAGGAAAAGACCAGCCAAATAAAGGTAAAGGTAAAGGGAAGGGTAAAGGGAAGGACGAAAAGAGAAAGGCGGCATGTTATGTATGCGGCAAAGAGGATCATATGTCTCCAAAATGCCAGACAGACTGCTACCAGAGAGTCAACGGAAACATCCGAAACACTATACAGACTGCTACCAAAGATCCAATGGAAAAATCCTGATCAATTTGTTGATTATGGGAAGAAGCTTAATCTGAATCAGATTGGAGCAACTGTCCCAGCTACAGTTACAGCTACAGTTCCTGGAGCTTCTCCATCCACAAGTGGAGCATCGAGTGTTGCAGGAAGTGTTAACACACCTTTGCAACTTGCTGGTACTACAGGTAATCAGATGATGCAAGTTCCTTCAAGAATGCAGCTCATGCAGATTCCAACTCTAGGTGGCGGCACTGTGACTGTCCCTAACTCAATGAATGCTAATGGCAAAATTGCGTTCAGTGGAATGCAACTCGGCCATCAAGGTTCCAGTGCTGCTCAAGTGCGCCAAGGATTGGATGCAACTCAAGCTCAAACTCCGCAGGTTGTGAAGACTGGCTATCTTGTTCTGCCAAATGTCTTCTACAATGCTATCAAGGGAAAGGATGAGAATGGCAATGATTTCTATCTTATTCCATGTCCTGCTGGGACGTCAAATTTCAAACTTCAACCCAACCGAAGGAGCTTCTACGGTCCCAATACCTTGGGCCAGTTCTATGAGAGGAATGAATTCCCAATCACACTTCATCGTCTTGACTTGAAAGCCTGCCTTGTTGTAGCAGCAGAATATTGTATCCAATGCTTCAAATACAGCAGGGTCAGTCTTCAGGTTCTGCATGGGAATACATGAGCAATAACGCACAGTGGTATCAATGCAGGTGAGAAACTTAGCATCTCGGATCTCCGTGTGATCAATACAGACGGTAATAGATCGATTATGTTGATACAATTCCTCTGGTGGACTGAAGAAGTCATCGTACGTCTTCTTCGGAGTTGGTCTTGGAGTAATCAGTTCTGATTTTGCCGGATTGGACTCAGAGGACTCAAATGGAGATTTCACCAGCAAGACCTACAAACTACTCACCAAGACCTTGGCAGCTGTCGAAGAGAGTAACAAGACAATCAAGACCTCCGAGGAATCGCTTTTGGAGGTCGTGGTAGCGGGCATCCATGACAAGGCGCCCCCAAAACACAGTGGAAAAGAAGTGGCCCACCAGGCTCTCCTATCTGAAGAGAGTTGCCGGTACTACAACCCCAGCTCAGCTCCCCACCCTCTGGCATGAGCTAGCCAAGTGTAAGAAGCATTGTTAGATAAATTGTCTTTTCTGACTTGCCATGTGCGACATTTTTTGTCGTATCAGTCTTCATTTTTAGTCATCTGTTAGAATAAAGCAAAATGTGCTCTATCGTGAGTGCCTTTAGCGCTCAGAACAAACTCTCTGCAATCTAAATTTGTAATCAATTGTACAACACTTTCACAACAATAGTTCTCCTGTGTCTAGGTATACTTTGAGTGAAATTGTTCCTATTTGATTAATATTTGGCTTGAATTGATGATTCAATCACAAAAGTAAGTTCAACAATTTTCCTTTGGAAAATCCCTTGTTTACAGAACTTGATTCGACTTCTACGACAATTCTGTGTTGGATGCAGTACTTTGGGACATCTGGTATTATTCCCTACTGCATTGTACACAACATCAATATCTCACTTGTATAGGGTCATTCCCTTTTTGAGTGGATGTAGATTGTCCGACAGACTTGCATCCGGCATACTTGCGTCGAATCCTGACATCACGATCAAAGTTCGATCGTACATGTCGAAAACTTCGTACTTGAATAGTTTCTTTTTGGAACATAAAAACTCATATTTCGTCATATCCCAACACACTCCTGCCATTGTGACAATCACCATTGGCAGCAATGGGACATGCTCTCATTCACTGTTTATTTTTGTTTTGTATTTTCATTTTTGAACATATACATACTTGTCTGATCTATTCCTGTGGACCAAGAATCAGATCCCTTAAATTGCGAAACTTCTCACCTTGCAATGGCTTAGTCATGAAATCGGCAATCATATCGTCAGTTGGACAGTATTCGATCTTAACATTTCCTTTCTCAACTTGATCTGTGATAAAGAAATAACGAATATTGATAGCTTGGCTTCTTTTGCCCGCACTCTTGCGACCATTCTCTTCCAGTAGAATCGCGCTTTTATTATCCTGATACAAGATATTCTTCTCGATCGGATACCCTTGCCACTCCATGAACAACTTCGTCCATAGTATCATCATGACAACATTGTCAACAGCAATCAGTTTCGCTTCCGTACTGCTTCTGCTGTTTAGCTTTTGCTTCTTCAACATCACTTGAGCTGCACCTCCTCCAAAGGACAGAGTGCCGCCAGTATGGCTCTTGAAATCTGGATGCACCGCAAATGATGCGCCGATCATCCATTTCATGACTCATAGTGATTCAGCAGAAAGTGTCAGGCGATACAACAATGTACAAAACAAATATTGCATCATGTGAACACACTTCTTCCAATCAGACTCTGTAGGTTCTCAAACTCTTGAGGCAAGAATAGTAATTGTTGGATGGATATCCAAACGAGCTCTCTTAGAGACATAAAGTCCCCTTGCAACAGTAGTATGAAAGATCTGACGGTACTCAGCACTGAGTAACTTCCCTTTACCAGCTTCCAGTAAATTGTTACCAGCTGGTGTTTCCTGCTTTGAATCCTTGTTGAACTTGAAAGGAAAATCTTCCGACATGTTCTTGACATAGTCGTCCATGCGGATCTTGACTTTTCCTTTCACCAAGAAATCCAAAGTCATTCCAAAATATCTGTGTATCTTTCCTCTGATGATTTCACATGCCTGGATTGAACCATATCTCATGTTCAACCATTCAGCAAATTTGTCATTTACTTTCGGATCCATGTGACTTGACATAAAATTGTCAACATGAAATCTGATAGTTTGCTGTTTTTCATCAACAACTTTGTTAGCAACACACAGGTCATATGGATTGAAAACAAATCCCTTTGCCTCCAAATCACTCCGAAATTGATTATAGAATAGGAGGCTCGATTGCAACATCCCATATATAGCACCTAGTTCCCGCACATAGATTACTCGCTTTCCATTCTCTAATACAACGTATTCGCGATACTCTGGGGCCATGTCAATCAATATCTGGACCATCATGCCAGTGATTTTCATGTAGACACGATCTTCTCCTTCCTTAGCATCAGGCATATAAGTTTGAATGAAAGCGTTAGGCACGTCCAGCGTCATGTCGGAGAAGATAATTTATTTCTATGGAAATCATCTTGCTGATGATGTAAGAAAACAAGATTCAAGCAAGAGCCAAAGTTGGATATTAATCAAAGTACCGACTACAGTGGAAGGTGAACGGATAAACAGATTGAACTTGCATTATATCTCTACCTTCGTGTGCATCAATAACACAAGTAGTGGTGATTGCTTCCTGCAAAGCAGTTGGACTTGCAGTGTCCTCTTGCGATAACCATTCACGAGTTCCATCGCCTCGGAATACTAGGCAGCCTTTAATTGTCTTTTCCAATTGCTTCTCCACAAGTAACATCATCGCTGATTGTGCCTTCTTTCGCTCAGACGCGGTCATGTCTTTGACAAATTTGGGAGTGAAACAATCTCTCAGGAGCATTTGTCTCAATTCCTTATCCACAGCATCCTTTCCATCATCACCAAACTTCTTCAGTCCTTGATTGATGTAATACTGTTGAATGAAGTTTAGACCTTCATCAGTATCAAACTTGGCCTTGATTTGCATCATGCAACGAGCGATCGGAATAGCATCGTGCTCTACATAATCAGCTTTCATCTCATTCCCAATCTGTTGGAAACATAGATTGTGCTTTGCTTCAAGAATAGCATTACTGTCTTTAGTATTGTGACTTCCTTCAAAGGTTTCAATTCTCTTTCTCGATGCTTGCGTCTTGTCACAACTCGATTCTTGTTCTTATTGGCAGAACTGCCACTCCTGCTCAAAGGCCATTCTCTTGGTCTCTTTGGAACTTGGGAAAGGTTCAGCCCAGACGTTGCAGCTTGCGCATACGTTTGCCCAGTTTGAGTGACTTTTGCTACTTGAGGCTCTTCAGGCTCAAATACAATCTCTTCTTCTGGCGGTTCTTGTAGATCCTCCAGATCAGTAACGAGGCTCCCAATATCATCCGTTCCTCTATCGACATTTTCTTGATGGTGATCCAAATCGGCCACAATAGGCTCTTCCTCTTCATGGCCTTCATCACCCAAATCGTCGTCTGATTCATAGTCATCATCTCCTTGGAATCTGACAGTGAGTTCTGGCATATCATCAACATCATTGTCTGCATCTGCCAAGAGCTCTTCTCTTTTGGAGTCATTGATATCATCGAATTGTCCATGTAGATTGAAATCACGTTCATCTTCATCTTCAGATTCATAGTCCTGATCAAAGGCTTCTTCTAAGTAACCTTGTTCCGTGTCATCCACTCCTGCGATTTGATTGCCATCTTGAAATGTCTCCAAATCTCTCTTCTTATCAAAGAACTTCATGGAAGTAACACCTTTGGCAGCAGCCCAAGCTTCAACACGCTGGATTACTTGATCGGTAACGGGTAGTACTACAACCTTGGGTCGGGAAATCATCTTCTTAGTATTGAGGTTGAGCACTCGGTGCCCAGTACGTTGTCCCTTTGTAGGCTCAATGTAAATCGCTTCAATACTTCTGGGTTCCATCGAATTGTTGGAATCCGTCCCAATTGCATGAACATATTGTCCAAGTTCAGCAACCATGTCACTCTTGTAGTTGATATTGACATTATCAATGAGTTGCTGCGGACTGAAATGTGATGAG